GGGCGCGTGGCGAGGAACGGCCCACCCTGAGGAGGGGGTCGGTACTTCTGGGGCTCGCGAGTTGGACAACATCGCGGCCTGCCAGATGCCTGAGCCCGTGCGCTCCACGCGCCGGGGAAGGGTTGCTGGGACGGGGGCAAGACATCCGCTCGACGACCGACGCCACTGCACCCGACGAGGCCATCGAGACCCTGGCGCGTCTGGGTGCCTCAGGCGAGCGGTTCCAGCGAAAGAAAGACATCCGCGTGGACGGCTGAGAGCTGATGCTGTCAGTGGGGGCGGTCGTTGGGGAGTGTGACCAGGAGGCTCCAGTCCCTAGAGGATCCCTGATTTGATGAGGGCGGCGGTGATATCCATGGCCGATCCACGGGTTGGAGCTCCACCAGCCCAGCGGCCCTGATGCGCCCGTTGTGAACACGCTGCGTGTTGGCCCCACGTCTTGGGCCCACGTTTGGGCGAACGCGTCGCGCCCAACGCTCGTGTCCACCCGTCGTGCTGAGCTCCGTGTCAGCGCGCAGCGGGCTGCGCGTTGCGCCTCGGGGCGGCGAGGCAGAGGATTCCTCACTTCGTGAGGGCGGCGGTGGCATCCGTGGCCAGTCCACGACTCGAGTTCCACCAGCTTTCGGGCTCTGGCTTCCCTGTCGAGTGGCTCCCTACCTGGTGCCCTCGCCGCGCGCAGCCTGCTGTCCTTCCGCCGCGACAGGCGCGTGCCGCCTCGAATTCGGCCGCGCCGGGCCTCGAGATGAGTGGCCTCCGGCCTTACTGCGGGGGCTTCGGGGGGGGGGGGGGCGCGCCCTCCCCTTCCCAGACGTCCGACCATGAATCTTTCTCACCTGCGGGCCCCTGGAGGTCCCGACTATTTCCCCCAGGTCGCCAGCACGAATGCCCGCGGCAACACCCGCCCTAACACCAGCGCCGACGCCAGCACCGACGCCAGCACGAACGCCGGCACCGGCGCCGGCGCTTACGCCACCGACTTCATCAGCTCCGATATCATCGTTGACATCAGCATCGACGCCGGCACCGACGCCAGCACCGAGGCCAGCCAACGCGTACGCCGGCACCAACGCCTGCGTCTACGTCAGCACGGACGCCGGCACCGTCGCCAGCATCGAGGCCAGCACCAACGCCAGCGCCTTCCTGTGCAAAAGAGGTGGAGGATGCCCCTATTCCGCCGTCGGTAAACCTCTATATGACGCTTGCGCACCAAGCACTCGAATGGTGGCTACTCGAACGGGAAGTCCAGTAGCACCAGGTGTAGATATCCCGCTGCCTCTTGGGCCCTGCGCCCGCATTGCCGGGAATTCCAGGGTGTCCTCCGCGCCAGGAATTCCAGGGGGTCCTCCGGCTGGAACGGGAATTCCAGTAGCACCAGGTGTAGATATCCCGCTGCCTTTTGTATATGTTACTCTGGAGACGACCGCCAGCATCATCGCCGTCACCTACACCAGCACCGACGCCAGCTCCGTCGCTAGCATCATCACCTACGCGTGAGGGCTTCGAGGATTCGGTATTGTCTTATGGGGTGGTGGCAGGGTCACCCACATGGACCTCGTGCCCATGTCCTCCGGACTCGTCCCCTGAGTTCTGCCTGAGCAGCCCGTGCCGCTGCCCCAGCCATAGGATATTGCAGCTAGGGCCCGCTTCGTTTGGGCTGCATTGGAGCCTCTCCGTTTCCCCCTTTCTCCGCCTCCCTCGCTTCAGTCACAGCTTTGCATTGCATGATTAGTCTCCGGCTAGTTTTTTACTTTCACTGGCGCTGGTCCCTGTCTCGCGGGGCGGCGCTCACCGCTTTGGGGGCGACAGGGGCGGTTTGCTCTCAGAGCTTCCCGACCCCTGCTCCCCCCAAGTCCGGCTCCACACTGCTCGTTATACTTGCCTGGCCGTTCGCCCTACAGCTATCATATGTTCAGATCCTGCCATCTAGCTTGCTCGTGTGGGGCCTTGCGCGTCGTCAGCTCAAGGCTGGATTGCGCACGCACGAGTTCGTCGCTATTCACTCCTTTCCCTGCTCGGCTCCCTCCTGTTCCTCTCCTTCTCTGCCCTCGGCCTCCTCCTCCCCTTTTCTGTTTTTTGCAGGTGGGTCCGAGGCTTTGCTTAGGGTCCTTCGTCCGTCCCCTAGCGGGGTCGGGACTGCCCTCCCCCTCTTTCCTCTCTCTCTCTCTCTTTTGCTTCCTCTTCTTCCTCTTCTCTCTTCCTCCCTCCTCTTCCTCCTTCTCCTCCTCCAAAACAAAATCACGGAACTTGGGCTCCAGCATTGGCCGCGCCAGATTGTTAGACAATTTTGTTTGGCGCTGTCCCCAGTTTTAGTCTAGAGCCAAACGCTGGCTGAAGCATTCAGCGTTGAATTCCGGCTCTGTTCTAGATCTCGTCCCGGTTGATACGTTTTAAGTAGGAATTCGTATCACTCGGCCAGTGGATTTGTTTATCGGGCTTTGAGTGTGCGTAGTTATGCACGGAGTTCGATCTCAGGGGGGAAAAAATCCCCCAGGGGCAGTTCTGTGTCCCAGATGCAATTCTCTGATGGCCCTGGGGCCTGGGCCCCCCCCCAGCAGAGGCCGAGACGTAGGACGAGCGCCAGCGATACCTGGACCTGGGGGCGCCCGAGGCGGGTGGGGCGAAGAGCGCCCGGTGTGAACAGATAGCGACGCCTCAGGATCCCTGGGTCTCCCGATGCCCTTCGCGTTAAGTCGGGCATGTCCCTCTACAGGAGAAATATTCGAAGATAGTCACAAAGTAGTATGGGAATGATTTTCAACAATTTTTGGATATTCATGTGGGCAGTTTTTTGAGTATTTGTCATTGGAGAGGTCTGACGGCCGGTGCCGCCGACCCTGAGAAGGGGCTAGGAGGAGTAGGAGGAAGCGAAGGAGGAGGAGGAGGAGGAGGAGGAGGAGGAGGAGGAGGAGGAGGAGGAGGAGGAGGAGGAGGAGGAGGAGAGGAGGAGGCGGAGGAGGAGGAGGAGGAGATGGAGGAGAGGAGGAGGAGGAGGAGGAGGAGGAGGAGACAGGAGCAGGATCAGGAGCAGGAGGAGGAGGAGGAGGAGAGGAGGAGGAGGAGGAGGAGAGGAGCGAGGAGGAGGAGGAGGAGGAGGTTGGAGGTGAGAAGGAGAAGGAGTAGAGAAGAGGGCAAAGGAGGATGATGATGAGTAGGAGGAAGAGAAGGAGGAGGGTGAGAAAAAGCAGGAGGAGGAGGGGAGGAGGAGGAGGAGGAGGAGGAGGAGGAGGAGGAGGAGGAGGAGAAGAAGAAGGGGGAGGAGGATGAGGACGAGAACCTCTTCGCGACGCCCTCCGGGCTTTCTCGAAGGCTGCCTGGGGAGTCGGATTTGGGGGGGGGCCCCCCCGGGTCCCCCCCGGGACCCCCCGGGTCCGGCCCCCCCCCCCCGCACCCGGGAAGGGAAAAGGGAAGAGGCTTCCCTTCGAAGTATTGACGACGTTCAATCAATTGCTTGGCATTGCCTGCATGTGCAAGGAAGAGGACTCTGCTGACGGAGAGCGGGAGAGCGGTGAGAGGAAGCTGGATGCGGCTAGAGAAAGTCGAGCAGGAAAGAAAGCACGACGCGAACGGAGAAGCCCCTCACATACGCCAATAGGGTCGGCGGATTTTTCTTTAAACATGCGCCCGTAGGGGAGCATGCTGGACCTAACCTTGGCGATGCCCAGAGAGTACAAGTAGAGGCCGCCGTGGGGGTGCCCCAGAGGGAGGGTACGCCCAGAGCTCTGGAGGAGGCCCCCAAAGTAGCGCCCCGGTCGGCCACACGTGCGCAGATCTCCGGAGAGATGTTTTTTCAATCTGAACGTTTCTCCTCGGTCTCGGCTCCATGATGATGATGATGATGATGATGATGATGATGATGATGATGATGATGATGATGATGATGATGATGATGATGATGATGATGATGATGATGATGATGATGATGATGATGATGATGATGATGAGGAGGAGGAGGAGGAGGAGGAGGAGGAGGAGGAGGAGGAGGAGGAGGAGAGAGGAGGAGGAGGGGAGGGGAGATGGAGGTGGAGGTGGAGGAGGAGGCGGAGGAGTTGGAGGAGGAGGAGGAGGAGGAGGAGGAGGAGGAGGAGGAGGAGGAGGAGGAGGAGGCCATCGTGTCCCAGGACAGTCAAGTATGGGTCCAGGACCTAGAGCTGCCCCTGGGAGAGGGGTCAGGAGCTCTGGGGCCGCGGCTTGAACAAATGATATCGGACATCTGGGAGAGCAAGAGTGGCCCTTTGCTGGAGTGACCTGTGGTGCGGGCCCCGCATGGGTCCCCCCAGCACTGCCTGGCGCGCTTGGGTTTGACCTCCCCTCTTTCCCGCGGCCGGCGAAAGTCGCGCACCACTGGTCACTCTTGCCCAAGGGCCACTCTGGTGTGTAATTATCGGGGGTGGACAGAACACCCACCCTGACACGTCGGTTAGTGAATTGTCCGTTGTCGGCTCTCGAGAGGGCGCCGCGGCCGTCACTTTCCAGGCTTGCGCCGGCCAGGTCTGGGCCCGAGGTCGTTTTCACCAAACCACGATTTGCTGAAAGGGGCCTCTGTCCATCCCCGATGCTTGGCGGACTCCAGCGGCCCCGAGGGAGGCCAGGGAAGAGGGGAAGCCGCGCCCAGGTCAGGTTCTCTCCTTGTCTTCGGCAGGCCACTGGGCTTCAGAGGCTCTCTCCTCCTCTCCCTCTTTTGGCCCGCGTCGCCATGGCAGGAGCCCACGGCGGGCTTCTCGTTTCACCCCCGCCTCCGCGCCGGCGCCTCGCGCCGTGGGGCGCCCCCCCTCGCTCGGCCCGTGCCTCCCGCGTCGGGGCCGGAGCAGGTGTGCCCAGAGGATCCCGCCGCATCGCCGGTGCATTTGCGATGCGGCGCGATACGGAGCCTGGAGTCTCTCCGGCCCGACGTCGACGGCGCATCGGCGATGCATCGGCGAGGCGGTGCGATGCTCCACTCCTCGATGTCCCCGACGGGATTCTCTCGCGCCGTGGCCCCGGAGGGCCCGACCCCTCCCCCCGAGTGCAGTTTCCCGGTCCCAGATCCGTAGGGCCCGATGGCGGGGCGGGCCCCAGAGGCCGAAATCGAAGGAAACGCAAAGTGCGGCTGGAATCATTCGGCGCGGAGATCCCCATCTCATTTCCTGGCACGTCCCTCTGTGAGTGTGTGGCCGAGAGTGTCTAGGCGTGAGCGCGAGTCCGAGTGGACAGCGAGTGCGATGACGACGACGGCTGCGGCTACGATGAGGGACGGCAGCGACGAGAATTCACAGACAGGCGGCGAGCAGGTCCCCTCCCCTCTCCTGTCTCTTCGCAGTCGTCGTACCCCCTCCTCTCTCTTCCTCCCTCCTCCCTCCTCCCCCTTCCTGCGCCCTCCGTCCTCCTTCCGACGCCCTGGCGCCGTCCTTCTCCTTACATCGAAGTGATCATGGGGTCCTGAGTGCACAGGGTTCGGAGATGCACAATGAGCGCCTCGGGAACCCCAGCCAGAGCCTCGCTCGAGACATCCTTGCATTCTGCTTTGAAGTACCGGCACGTCCAATCGACCAAACAGGCAAAGCGCCCGAGACATCCCACAATCTGGGCGCGAACGGGCAAATGTCCACCCCTGGCGGCTCTCCTTGGAGCGCTCAGGTGCCACCCCTTCAGCATGGTGCTTTGAAAGGAGATGAGTCGCATCAACCAATTAGGCACGTCGCCCGAGACGTCCCACAATCTGGGTGCGAATTGGCAACTGTCCCCCCCCCCCCCCCGGCGGCTCCTCCTTGGGGTGCTAAGTGGCCGCACCCATCGCGAGAGCACGGTGCCCGAACAGGGGAGAAGCCAACCACAAACGGGCAAAACGCCTGAGCTTATCCCACGATCTGGGCGCGACCAGGCAGCTTTTCCCACCCCCGGCGGCTCGTCTTGAAGTACCACGCCTGCTAAAATCGCGATGAGCAACGGGGCTCTGAAGGAGAGAAGGCAAATCAGCCAAGTAGGCAGATGATGATGAGGAGGAGGAGGGGGAGGAGGAGGGGGAGGAGTAGGATGAGGAGGAGGACGGAGGAGGAGAAAGAGTGATTTGGAGGGAGGAGGAGGAGGAGGAGGAGGAGGAGGAGAGAGGAGGAGGAAGGAGGAGGAGGAGGAGGAGGGGAGGAGGAGGAGGAGAGAGGAGGAGGAGGAGGAGGAGGAGGAAAGGGGAGGGAGGAGGAGGAGGAGGAGGGAGGAGGAGGGAGGAGGCGGAGGAGGGAGAGAGGAGGGAGTAGGGCAGGAGGGAGGAGGAGCGGGAGAGGGAGAGGGAGAGAAGGAGGAGGAGGAAAAGAGAAGGAGGGAGTAGGCGGAAGAGGAGGAGGAGGAGGAGGAGGAGGAGGAGGATTTGAGAGGAGGAGGAGGAGGAGGAGGAGGAGGAGGAGGAGGAGGAGGAGGAGGAGGAGGAGGAGGTGGGAGGAGGAGGAGGAGGAGGAAGAGGCAAATCAACCAAGCAGGCAGACGGCCCGAGGCATCCCCGACCACCTGGGCGCGCACGGGCGGATGTCCTCACCCCTGGCGCTCTCACCCTGGGCTGCTTCGGTATGCCACGCCTGCTGCACCGCGAGCGATGAGCACGTGGTGCTCTGAAAGGAGAAGTCAGACCAACCGAACGGGCAACCCGCTCAGCACAGTCCCACAATCTGGGCGCGAGCGGGCACATGTCCCCACCCCCGACGGCTCCTCATTTTGGGGTGCCCAGGTGCCGCGCCTGCTGCATGGTGGCGAGCATAGGGCTCTGAAGGGAGAGAGAGAGAGGCCCGACCAACGGAACAGGCAAACCTCCGGAGGCATCCCCACAGTCTGGGCGCGAGCAGGCACATGGTCCCATCCCTGGCGGCTCCTCCTGGAGGTGCTCACGTGCCACGCCTGCTCCACTGCGATGGTCATGTGGCTCTGGTTGTATGACTGATGTGTGTATGAGTCAGTCTATGACTTGAGTGCGTCTGAGTACGTGAGTCTGATTATGAGTGGGTGCGAGTGAGAGCGAATTTGAGTATCAGAGAATCCAAGTGTGAATGAGTCTGAAAATGAGTGTCTGAATGTCAGCGAGACAGTGAGTGTGCGTCTATCCGAGTGCTACTCGGTCTTGGTACGAGTGATCGTGAGTGTGTGTGTGTGGTCTGAGTGTGAGTGTGTCTGAACGGGAGTGGGTTTGAGTATGATTGATCCGGGCTTGATGCGAGAGAGAGAGAGAGAGAGAGAGAGAGAGAAAGAGAGAGGAGTGCGAGCGAGTCAGAGTCTGAGTCTGAGCGTGAGTGAATCTAGGAACGTTTGGATTAAGCTTGGGAGCACGAGTGATCAGATTGTGAATGCGAGGGAGGGGGGAAGAGAGCTGGGAGTGCGTGAAGAGACGGAGGCGTCCCATTGAGAGCAATAACTCCATACTCAGGATCTGGGGGAGCATCGCGGGGCGCGGGGCGCGGCGGGGCAGAAGGGGGGGAAGAGGGAAGGGGGGGGGGAGGCCTAGGAGAAGGGAGGGGGGGGGGGAGGTGAGAGGGAGGAGGAGGCCCATGGGAGGAGGGAGGGGGGATGGGGGGAAGGGGGCCCGGGAGGGGGGCGGAGGGGACCCCACCTGCTCCAGCCCCGCTTGGGGAGGCCTCCAGTGCCCCCCGGGGGCGCGCGCCTTGGGCAGAGGTCCCCGCCCCATTGGGCGCGGAGGCGCGTCTCTCGTGCGGCGCTCGCCGCTGGCGCGGTGCTCCGTGCGCCGAGGGGGTTGTCTGCGGCCAGCCTGAGCCACGGAGGGGCAGCCCCGAGAGGGCGGGGCGCCGCGCGGAGAGGAGAGGGGGGGAGGGGCTGAGGAGAGGAGGGAGGAGGGAGGAGAGCATGAGGAGGGAGGAGGGAGGAACGATGACACTGAGAGGAGGGAGGGGGGAGGAGGGGAGGGAGGAGGGGAGGGAGGAGGGAGGAGGGAGGAGGGGAGGATGAGAGGAGGGGAGGATGAGGATGAGGATGAAGATGAGGATGAGAATGAGGATGAGGATGATGATGATGATGATGATGATGGTGATGATGTTGTTGATGATGATTATGATGATGCTGATGATGATGCTGCTGCTGATGATAATGATGATGACGATGCCCATGACAACGAGGATGATGATGCTGCTGTCGCTGATGAGGATATTAATGATGATGATGCCGATGACGACGATGATGATGATGCTGATGATGCTGATGATGCTGATGAGGATGATGCTGCTGATGATGATACTGCTGATGATGCATATGCAGATGATGAGGCTGATGCTGCTGATGATGCTGATTCAGATGATGATGCTGCTGCTTATGACGATGCTGCTGCTGATGATGATGCTGATGCTGCTGATGATGATGTTTCTGATGATGAGGCTGATTATGATGAGGATGAGGCCGATGGGGATTAGGATGAGGGTGCTGCTGGTGCTGCCGATGATGACGATGATGATTAGGATGCTGTTGATGCTGATGCTGCTGATGGTACTGATGCTGATGCTGGTGCTGATGATGCTGGTGAGGTTGGTGATGATGATGATGATGATGATGATGATGATGATGATGATGATGATGATGATGATGATGATGATGCTGTTGATGATGATGATTCTGCTGCTGATGCTGAGTATGATGCTGATGCTGATGACGCTGATGATTTTGATGATGCTGATGATGATGCTTCCGATGCCGATGCCGATGCCGATGATGATGATGATGATGATGATGATGATGATGATGTCGATGCTGACGATGACGATGATGAGGTTGATACTGATGATGATGCTGAGGATATGGTTGATGATGATGCTGTTGATGATGATGATGATGATGATGATGATGATGATGATGATGATGATGATGCTGATGATGAATACAAGGTCCAGACCACTATCAGTCATAATCTGATGCTGATGCTGCTTCCGATGATGCTGCTGATGATGAGGATGCTGATGATGTTGATGCTGTTGCTGTTGCTGATGATGATGATGTTGTTGTCGTTGCTGCTGATGGTGCTGATGCTGCTGCTGATGAGGATGATGATGCTTATGATGATGATGAGGAGGATGATGATGAGGAGGAGGAAGAGGAGGAGGAGGCGGAGGAGGAGTTGGAGGAGGCGGAGGAGGAGGAGGAGGAGAAGGAGAAGGAGGAGAAGGAACAGGAGGAGCAAGAAGCGGAGGAAGACGAGGAGGCGGAGGCGGAGGAGGAGGAGGAGGAGGAGGAGGAGGAGGAGGAGGAGGGAGAGGGAGAGGGAGAGGGAGAGGGAGAGGGAGAGGGAGAGGGAGAGGGATGATGATGATGAGGAGGAGGAGGATGCTGATGCTGCTCATGATACTGATGATGCTGATGATGCTGATGGTGATACAGATGAGGATGATGATGATGCTGATGATGATGAAGATGATGATGACGCTAATGACGCTGATGATGCTGATGCTGGTGCTAATGATGATGATGATGCTGATTATGATGATGATGATGCTGATGATGATGCTGTCGATGCCGATGCTGCTGATGATGATGATCATTAGGATGATGATGATGACGATGAGGATGATGATGATAATGATGATGCTGATCATGCTGATGATGCTGATGATGGTGATGCTGGTGCTGATGATGCAGAAATGATGCTGATTACGATTATGATGATGAGGATGATGATGATGATGAGGATGATGATGAGGATGATGATGGTGAGGATGATGATGCTGCTGCTGATGCTGCTGATGATGATGAATATGATGATGGTGATAGTGGTGGTGATGCTGACCATGATGATGATGATTCTGAGGATGATGGTGATGATAATGATGATGATGATGATGATGATGATGATGATGATGATGATGATGATGATGATGATGATGATGATGATGATGATGATGATGATGATGATGATGATGATGATGATGATGATGATGATGATGATGATGATGATGACGACGAGGATGATGATGATGATGATGATGATGATGATGATGATGATGATGATGATGATGATGATGATGAGGATGATGAGGATCATGATGAT